GAAAGCAACGTACGTAGGCAGATACCACATCTTCTATTAGACCTGCTGCTGTCATGGAAGCTTAGGAATTTGGTGACATTGTTTAATTTGGGTTTTTCAAGTTCTGCTGCGTTTTCCATTTCAGGTTGCAAATTCTGGTAACTATTGTGCTGTAATGATAGTGTTGCTATAGAGCTACAGCAATCCAGCAATGTAAGACAAAGTCTGTAGGTAGAGGATTGTCTAAAAAAAGATGCCAACTCTGCCTACAACTTCTACTGTAGACTGTGAAAAGCAGTTCCAAAGACACTGTGTAACTAAAACCCGAGTTACAGACCTTTGCAAGATGTAATAAATTGCACTAGCAGAGCATGGGAGGAATCTTTCTTTTATTAACTCCTCGCAATTTTCAAGAAGCGCTGTAGCTCTTTGGAAGCTTACAGGATTAAGATTTAAGATTGTCTGAAAATGTAATTCACAAATAGCACCTTCGCTGCTTGGTTTCAACACCTCAGGTATAACACTGAGGCAGCCTGTGCAGAATTTTTGTGTTGACTCTTTTAAGTCAGCTCTAAGGAAGAAAAGTTATTATCTAAAAAAATAATTGTTTACTTTAAACAGAGACTGCAAAAGTTTCCTTTCCAGATAAAGTAAAAAAATGAAGGATATATAACGTACAGGAAACCAAGAGGCTCCCTAGAAACTATAGAATTTTTCTTTCATATATTTCTAAGCTAATACCAACCAGGACACATGCAAAAATACAGATCTCCAAAATATCATGAGGCAAAAAAAAAAAAAAAAAAGGGTGTTTAAAAAAAAAGACTTAAGTCCCATCCTCGCCACACACACGCCCTTGGCATTCCTTGCAGGCCACCTTCGGTGGTCGCTACCTCTTCCACTTGCACACTAGGAAGAGGGGCAAGCGAGTCTGCATTTCTAAGTGTAAATAAAAATAAATCCTTTAAACTACTGCATATAAAGTGAAGCGCCAAATACCATATTAAAACACAATAAATGATCCTTCAGTTGAGCTGGTTAACACAGATACACAGTTGTTTGTCAGACTGCTAAGCATGTAAAGAACTTTGTCAGTTTTGTAAGATTGAAGTTGCCTATTTATGAACAAAGGTGGGTTTCTACAGAAAGAAGCATTTTTTTTTTAAGTGTTGCCATATACACCGTCTCTAAACATGCTAAAGAGCACTATTTAACACTGAACAGAGAACAAAAATTGTGCATTTTCTTCTCTTTAGATATTGGCTCGTGCATTTTAAAGAAAAAAAATCATGTTGGCGATTTTTAATGGTAAGCTGTCATACTTACAGCCACTCTTGTGATACCTCCTATGACACACTAAGTGACATAGACAAGATCCTGTTATTAGATACCTATTACAGATCTTATCGTAAGCACAAAAAGTTGATAGATTTTAGCACACGCCGTATCTTACAGGACAAGTTACTTTGGAAACAGTTCTGTACAAAACCCTACGGCTAATAAAGAACCTGAGCCACAACTTAAGCTTCTCCATCTGAGGTCATGGTCAGAATTCAGCTGTTCAGCGAGCTGCTCCAGCACCCAGCCCAAGAGGGAGGGATGCAAGCCCAGACACTTTGTTCAAGCTTAGGAGTCGAATGCGGAGGCAGTGGATTTTTTTGGTTCTATTTATGCCTGAAAAAGCCCACCTCCCACAAAAGCCAGACAGATCCAGGAGGTAGGTGCTTCTCTGCCCTTCATTGTTGCCGATTAAATACACAATAGTAAGATCAGACATTTCAAGTATGCAGTTCAGATCCCTTTATCATAAGCGGCGGGGGGGGAAACAAACAAACAAAAAAAGGTCTTAAAAGAACCCCCAACACCCTAACTGAGCTCTTCTCAAGAAAACGCAAGATACAGTAAAATCCCCTTTTTCTGAAAGGGGCTCCAATCCCCAACTCCCTCTTCCCAAGAAAACATCATGAACCTATAGGCAACTTCCGACACCCTTGCTCAAACTGCTTATGCCGTCCATCATGACACGAGGACACGTGCTTAGCAGTTAAGGTATCAAGTACATACCGATTATACAAGCTATTAATTTCTTTTACGGAGCATTTTAACATAAACAATTGCTCAGACTGAGCCGAGAGCAGTTGGCCACAAAGCTGAACAGAAACAAGAAGCGTACGTGGGGGGAGGTTAAACATTTAAGATATGCAACCATCTGGAGCATTCGCCTAGGACCGCCGATACATATTTGTAATAACAAAACAGATTGCAAGAGGAAATCTCTTAAAATACAGATACACAGATATTGAAATACAGATATATGCAAATACTGCGCCTGTAGCAGGGTATGAGGTAAGTGCCCTCGCCCTCCATGTCAGAAGAGCATGCAGGAGAGGAGTTGAAGAAACAAAGACAGAAACTGGTAAGAAATTGGGTAGAAGCGCACGCAGCAGGCGCGAGCACTGCTCTCCGCTCCCAACCCCAGCTCTGGCAGCTGAGATGACGTCTTAGAAGTTCCAGCTGAAAGAGGTCCTTGCTCAAGCAAGCCAGAATTGCATTTCATACTTTACTTGAAGCTTCCTGTATCTGCGCAGCTGACTGAAGCCTCGCTGCTTACTTTTGTTTCATCGCTGGTGTTGGAATGAAAGACAGAACCTACAAGGACACTGCTTCTCCACAGGGCACGATGCACGCAAGGCTGGCGAACCACCGTGGAGCGGGACCCATGTTCTGAGCCATATTTGGGGAACACCGGCTGAGGGAGGCAGTGCTTAGGCTGCTACGGTCTGTCCCAGGGCTGTGGTCTAGAAGTTAGCAGGTTGGAACAACGCTCCTGTGGCACCGGGGTATGTACGCTCAGACGACAATCCCAAGCAAAGCCCGGCATTTGGCAGTATTTGTTCCAGAGGTTAACACACAGAGGCCTAATATAAATGTTTTATTTAAAGTAAAAAGTGTGCACAAATAAAGGGAATGATTACACAACGACGTTCAAGACCATATTCCATATGAAACAGGAAAATAGTAGTGACAACATTAACTAGCAGAGCACCCATAAGAATCCAACTCGTATACAAAAAGGAGGTTACTCCACATAAATACATCATGCTTCTGATGAAGACACTTTCTCCAAAAGACAAAGCCTACTGCACTGGACTGTTTACACCCAATGTCCCTTCTGAATATTTATACAGTTGCTATATGCTTAACAATGAAAAATAACTGTTAATATCATGGCACTTTGGAGAAAATTAAAGTTTAAAAATGGATTTACAGTTATTTAAGATGTTTGTCACTTAGCAACATTCTTAATGGTTAGATATGTAAATAGAAAAAGTATCTTTTCTGTGACATTTTCCGTTAAAAAAAAAAAACAAAACCAAAGCAACTTTTGCTTTAAGCACAAAAGACAGTGTTTTACTCCATTACTCTTCTGTGATGAATAGCAGAAATGCCCTTCCTTACATCAAGCCATTTTACTTAATACCGCATATGAAATTAAGCCACTGTCGAGACAAGGCTTTTCTTATTTGCTTTAAATAACTTCCAAGTTTAATATCAGTTAAGTCCCGATGTCTAAACTAGTCATGCAGGTGTAGAAGTCAGAGTCTAAACAATTAATCACGATTTTAAAACTGCATGCCAGCAGTTCACCTGATGTGAACTAAACGTGCTGAAGTTATTAGCCGCTCTTTAGAAGTAGGTTTACTCTGATATTTTACGTTTGAAAATACACAACTTGAATTTAAGGGAACCTGACTTTTAACAGGGCGGAGGCTCAATGCTTCCCTGAAACTGAGGCCCCTCCAATCACTTCCCAGTTTTGAAAACTCAGCCCAACACTCAAGAGCTTCCTATTCACATTGCAAAGAAAAATACGAACTAAATACCACACCATGACACTACCGTGTATTTGTGCGATCTCTGTCCTTGAAGCTAACACGTAAGTGAAAAAAATACGCCAGAGGATTTGTACTATGAATTTGCAGTGTCGCCATACAAGGATTTTCAAGGGGAGACACTGACCAAGCAGAAGTTTTATTAAAAGCTTCAGATAAGGTTTGCTAACTTGTGCTTACAGATACTAAGACCTGCTTTCCGTAACACTTAGCTTGCCTTACAGTTCTTCCTTACGTAACACAGATTCTTTTCTTCAATGTCTCTTAATCCCTTTTCCCCCGAAATAAAAAAAGTGGTACATTTGGCATTTCTTCAGCCTAAGACATTCAAAACGATTCCTTAAACATTACAAACAAGAATTATCTGTGCTGTATATTACACTGTTCATTAACATGAAATGTAAGAATCACACCTCCCAAAAGTCCTAGTTTGAACCATTCTTTCAATTTATTCCAATTGCTTTACTATTAACTTTGAGTCTACTACTAACATTGAAGGTTTGATTGTGACTACAAATCACCCTCTGTAAGTGCAGAAGTTAAGGGAGTCATTGTGGACAGCACCTTTTTTTTTTTTTTTTTCCCTAGATGTGCTTTTTCCACTGGTAAAGTGGAATGCATTTCCAACAGTATGGCAATAAGATTTTAAAAAAGGAAACAAATGCCCTTATCTAGGCCATAGCTGTTAACAAATGCGGTTCTGATACATTTAAGACAGAAAGTATAAAAGCAATAAATAATAGTATGAGGTTCTACATCTGGCAATACTCACTGTCCATTACTGCTAAATTGCACTCCACGGATTTTAACTTTTTAAAGTATTAATTGAATTCCATTTAAACTGACACTTTATACCATGTACAACCCTCACTGAAAGGGACAGGCTCAGAAAGGCACTCTCTGTGTATCAGCGTACAATTCCTAGTGTATAACTTCAGAGCAAAGTCTATTGATTGGAATATTGAGTTAATCATCTCCTTCAGGATAGGATCAATATACCCTATGAAAGCAGCCATCCTTGACCTGTTCAGTTTAAAAATCTGCTCTCCTTGCCGTCATTTCAATCTGAAGGGCAATAACATAGCTCTAAGTCTAGGAGAACAGGGAAATCGGATGTTTAGAGAGGAGAGATTTAGAACTACAGAAGTCATGAGGTCTTACTTGTCTTGCTAGAAAAATGGAAGTCCTTTAATGGTATTTTATTACATCCCCTAATGCAATTTGTATTCTTAAAGCAATAAGAAACAACTTTCCTTTATTGGAAGGCTGTATTGGCAGATTATACAGCCAGACCCCATTGTTCAGTCAGGAGCCCCAGAGACCAACTTCTATATTAAAATTCAAGTTTGGCAAGACTGTTGGAAAGTTTAGCATTTTAAATCTGGCAGCCAAAGATTCAGCGTTAACAACTGTCCTGGACGACAATTAATACAAAAAGAAAATTAGTGAGTAATTCACACTAGGTGGCAAGGGTAAGATGTTCAGTTACTCATTTTATGCAAGTGCATCCAAATGAAGAGATGTTTATCCATGCAGAAATAAACAGAGTAACAACTGGCACAGTCCAGAAATGGAGAATTCAGACACATTCCTCAGCTGACATCAAAAGAGGATTTATATATTCAAAGCCTTCAAATTCAGACTGGTCAATCTTCTTCACAATGTCACTATCAAGATTAAAAAACAGTCATCAGTTCAGCAAAATTAAACAGGTAGCAGTATTAACTGATAGTTTGTCTTAAAATTCAGACCTGTACAGCAGATTGCAACTGAGAACATTTCCCTTCTCTCTTTTGTCCCTCTCTATCCCTACAGTTACCACTGGTTTTTTTTCTAGCCCCTATAATGGTAAGGGAACCACCCTGGAGTACTGACTGGGCTGCTCCCATGCACATATTCTCCCCACAAAGCAATCTGCAAGGTTTGCAGTTTTAAAACTTTCCCAAAACAGTTGTGTAAGAAACTGAAAACATTAGGATGTGATAGATACTGCACCTGCATCAGCAACTTTTCTAAACTTTATTTGTACATTATGCTTTTACAAAGGGATGAAGAAAGAAGTTGGATCTCAGACCTAATTCAGGTGCACAGGTAACATTTGATGTTCACTGTTTGTGTTTACATACTATGTGAACATTATACAAAACCCTAGAAAAATTCCTAAAATGTGAACAGCAGGGGCTCAGTCAAACTAGAAAGGCCCTTCCCTCCTCATCCCAAATCAGGACCCCTCAGGAGCAAGGAACCACAAAACCACTACCAAAATCAAATGCATTATCATGTATTTTACTAAGGGTTTTCAGCCAGGATAACCTCACTTGACTACTAACAATTTAAAAACAAGAAAAGCACCTCCTCTTGTTCGGAACACCCAAGATAAATTCAGTCTAAACCCAACATTCTAGAAATACCGTGGCTTAAAGTAATGCAAAAATAAACCACTTGACAAAACAGGTCTTTTCCTTCACACGTTCATTCCTTGCAGATGATACCACTAAAATGTGTAAAATAGCACTTATTCATCTTTCCCTGCACTAAGATTCTTTATAGCAACTTTCCTACCGTTAGTTGATTTTTACATCATGCCAGAGTACAATACTTAATCCAGCCACACTAAGTCCACCATGAGGACACATAATAGAATTTTCTCTAAACTAACACAAGAAAATGTTATTTACTGCTTTACATATGGTCTATGCACTACACCTATCAAATAAAGTTTTACAACTCTCTCACTGACTTATCGGCACTTCTGAAATTCTACATTACTTACTCATCATCTGGAGTGAGCTGCACAGGTTCATTGGTGAATTGGGAATCAAAGTTATCCAGACCAAATTCTCCAGATATATTTGGTTTAAACGGAGGCACCACTTGCTTTTGCTCCATCTAAGAATAAATGCACTTAGTGACACCAAGAATGAGTTACAACCTATTGAATTATTTTTAAACAAGGCTGGAAGTTGCTATCAAGTTTCTTTTGCATCCTTTCTACAATTATTTTAATAATCTACTGTACTTACTGTGTGTAAAAGGGTTAAAAGATTCTGTATTGTCATTATGGTACATCATAAGTTAAGAGCTTAAGGTTTCTGAGTTTAAGATCATCTCTCATGCTCAAAACAAGTTGTCAAGCCATCATCGTATACAAAGAAAATAAGCCAAGCCAGCAGGCATTCACATACCAGATCCCAATCAACGTTGCGAAAGAAGGGATGTCCCTGGATATCTGCAAATCCCGTTTGAGGATGGCAGCCCAAACGTTCCTTTGGATCCTGTGCAAGGAAGAAAATATTTTTAAGTGGGTGTCATGGCCTACACATGAATAAAATACAAATGTTACAAATTCCATGAGAAATGAAACACCAGAGTTACAAGGGACACTGAAGAACTAAGTTAGCGTTATTTATTTTGGCAACTGTTCCAATTTACTGCCTGAAATAGGCATGAATATATGGAAGCCTTCAATGGAATTTTGTATAAACAACCTTGCCATCTTTCTTCATTTTTATTCAGACCTGTTTAAAAACCGTACGTTTCAGAGCAGACTTGGTTAGATTAGAAGTGAATTCGCCTCTCCGCCCACCCGCCCCTCCCTGAGCAGACTGACTATGCCAGGCAATCACGCTGGGGTAGTAACTGCAGGTTACTGATAAATGTGGTGGAAAGAAGGCTATTTTAACAAGACAATTCCATCTCCACGTACGTGTATGCACACACACTACCAAGGAGTTGTAACTGCAGCAGTGTTCTTGAACAGTATTACTTTCTTAGAATAATTGAACCAAATCTGTTTTCTGCTGTATCTCTTTCTCCCCAGCCATCTAACACTCACTAAATAAAGGCCAGCATGTGCTCGGACTGGTCCACGAACACATATGCACTTTTTGACTCTCAGGCTAGTTAGCTACCAGCAAACGGTGAGCGTATACTGCCTCTGCATCTCCCTCGATGAACTCACCAGCAGTTGTCAGAGTGATTTGCTAAGCTTCTTAAGAACCAAAATAAATCTGGTAAGTTTGTCCAATTCCTCAGGTTAAAGAAATCACTCCGAGCATTTCCAAGCCTTTCAATTTGAAATTTATTCATGATCCCAGCCTGAGAATCTGGAGCTTCAGATTTTAAGACAAGTATCTTGAATAGGTCCCCTGGCCCCAGTGAAACTCTGCTTTAGGCCCACACCTTTTCTACCCTGTTTCTGTATATGGCAGATAAAGTATGTCTGTTACACATCGATTAGTCAACAGGTTTTTTTAAAAAAAAAAAAACACCAAACCAAAACCCCCCCCCACCCCCCCCCAAAAAAACCCCCAAAACAGCTGCTCTTCAGAAGTCTTAAGTAGTCCCCTTTAGCTCTTACCTTATTAAGGAAACTCTTTAGAACACCTGCTGCTTTAACAGAAAGGGATCGGGGAATTCGGATCTGTTTTTCCAAAATTACTGCAAGAAAACAAGGTTCACATCAGCCTTTGCACCTTCATAGTTAGATTAAAGGTAAGTAGAAACAAAGCACTAAAATGCAGGAACACTCATGGTACTTACCTTGGAAAAGATAATCTTCTGTGTTCTGATCAGGATTGTCAGAACTGCCAACAATATCAAATGGCGACCGGCCCGCCATCATTTCAAACATCAGTACACCAAGTGCCCACCAGTCCACACTGAAGCCTAGAATTCAAATGAGAAAACACCACTGAAGATATTTTGGAGCAAAAATACCAGCACTTCTGGGGCTAAAGGCAGAAGAATTAATTAAAAAATTTAAGTATTGCCAGCCTTTCTGATTATCTGAACAAAGGAGAGCTAACAATTGTACTAGAGATTACTTGATTCGTTATGTGCGCAATAGGAGGGAATGCTGTACAAAGGAAAGGAAATGCAAACAGTTTAAAGGTTGGTGTCAGGACCTTAACAAAGGTTTAGATAATATTTAAGCGCAGTCATTACTAACCAACAGGGAGCTGGTTATCCAGGGCAGGGGACAAGGACAAGGAGGAAGTATGTGATTCTTAATAGTACCAAGACAGTCATTCATGGAGCTAAGCATATCTATTCTGCTATTCACTGCTAAAGGAAAAAAAAGAATTGCAGTAGCTAGGCTGGGACTGATATAGTCTGGATGGCCTAGACAGTTTGTGATAAGGAAGGAAGATCTGAAGCCAGACTGAAAGAGACATTGGATTGAAATAAGATGGTAGATTTAAAAAATACCTATCCTTTTTTAAAAATAGGAACTAACTGTAGAACTTGTTAAAATCTTAAGGGAAGAAAACAGATCAAAGATCTGCTTGGCACAGTACTGGAAGCTGAGGAAGAAAGGGTAAGTAACAGGAAACATACACAACAAGCCTTCTATGCTCTCTTACGTCTCTTGTTTCAGGAATCTTGCGGACTTCCTGAAATCACACAATTTCAGACACAGACAATTTCATTTTTAACACTGAGATTTGTGAAAGGGATGTCTACTATCTAGGCCCTTTGCAATGCATTTGTATCTAATACCACCATTGCTGCCAAATATAAAACTCCAAAACTGAACACAATTTGAGACTGCGAGTATATCATTAGTAGTACCTAAAATAGTTATAAAAAATAGTAATTATGAAGACTCAAGCTATTCTTCAAGACTGATAAGAAGAATTTAAAATGTGGAAGGCTGGGTATCTCATTTGCTTGGTGTGATGTTTTCTGCCCTTCCTTGAAGGGTTTATTCACTTTTTCAGAAAGGATGCTGAATTAAGACTGATCACGTGTCTAATGGAGATTTATACTTTCTACTGCTAAGGAACTTGAGTAAGAAGTAAGAGACAAGTGAAAGTTATATGGTAGCAGTGAAAAATTCAATTTACCATAATCCTCTCCCCGGAGAATTTCAGGTGCAATATAGTTTGGAGTCCCACAGAATGTGCTGGTTGTGTCACCAGGTCTCAGACCCTCCTTTAAGAAAAGATGGAAAGAAAATACTTTACAGTTAGCCAAAGATCCCACACTCCCCCTCTGCCAAGAACTTAATTTTGAATTAAGTGTCCTGAATAAACTGCTTTCATTTTAGTAAAACTATACTTAAATCTGTATGTAAATGAATAGAAAACACTACTTGTTTCAGAAGAAACAGAAGTACGTTGCATCTAGAGTCTCAAGAGGATGGCACATACCTATGGACAACGTCATCTTTTAATGTTTTAGGTAGTAAGCTCCACCACATCTCCAACGATAGGCAAGTGAGAATAACTGCAGCATGGTGCAACAGCTTACATGACCGGGGTGTTGCAATGGATAGATACAATCTTTTCAGAGAAGAGCATGGGATGCAGAAACGACGGTGGTGGGGGGTGTTATCCAAAGGAGTTGTGCAGTCTTCATCCTTGGAAGTTTTCAAGACCAAACTGAACAAAGCCCTTAGTAACCTGGCCTGATCTTACCCTGCTTTGAGCAGGAGGGTGGATTAGACCTCCTGAGCCCCTTTCCGACCTGTGTTACTTTATGCTTTTCAGCTGCTTAGCCAAAATTACAGTGTTTACAATAGTTTTAGAAGATCAGCATAATGGCAATTCCATGGCAAAGTCAAACTTGTGCTCCAGCGTCTTTGTAGTGACAAAGTTTTTCTAGAGAAAGTGGGAAGCGTCATAGAATCCAAACGGGAGCAAGTGTGACTGATATATTTCAACCTCTTGCTCTTTTTGAAATCAAACTATCTTAACTATTTCAGCCTACCCCTCCCAGTCAAGTTGATACAGCAGCTTCATAAAAACATACACAGTGTGTGTGTGTGTGTATATATATGTATGTATGTATGTATGTATGTATGTAGTCTGTGCACTTTGGCATTTCTTTTTCTTTTCTCTATTTGTAGACATGAAATGAGTATACAGCCTGTCTGTACTGTGTATAAATGAATACCTTGAAATGTCATATTTTTAAGTCTCTGCATCTTTTAATTTATGACAATTTCTTAAGTATTGATTTTACTGGTTAGCAAGGAACCAGAGCTTACCTTGCACATGCCATAATCTGTGAGTTTAATATGCCCTTCAGAATCCAGTAGCACATTATCCAGTTTTAAATCTCTGTAGATTATCCCTCGTTCATGTAAATAGTTCAATGCTAGACTGATTTCAGCAGAATAAAACCTAGTGTAGAAAGAGATATTGATTACTTCAGTAATCAGAAACCCAAACCACAGTAACATAGTCTTGGTAGTATGATACTTGTCTAAACATAATAGCCTGTATTCTATTATTTTTCATCGGAGAAGTGGAAAAGCTGTTCATAATCATACAAACATTTCTACCCACAGTCACTTCAAAAATTATTTTTAATTAATATTAATGTCTACTGAAATCATCCCTTTCATCTCACCATCTGAGATGAAGCATATGCACCAAGAACTCAGCATTCGCCTGGACAGCTGGTAGTGGTTGTTGTAAGAGAAACACATTGATATTATTAGACAGTTAAAAAAAAAAAAAAATACCACAAAAGTGTTTTTCTAGAAAAAAAAAATCAGAATTGGACTGAAGTCATCTAGGGTAATGCTAATACAAGCAGTACCTATTACAGTTCCTCCTTGAAACAAAGATATGGTAGCTTGCAGTGCTAAAGTGAGGATGCAGTTTCACATTTCTTAAATCCTTAACATCTGGAGAGGTTTTGCTAGCTCATCATCATTATCTCTGCACTACTGCACTGTGTCAGAAAACCAACTGTTTTGATGCAAGAAGTCTGGAATTAGATATACCTGGCATGCTCCTCTGGCAGCTTTCTCTGTCTCTGCATATGAAACATTAGATCTCCTCCATTTACATATTCTATAACAAAGAATAACCTGAAACACACAGGAGTTTGTTAAAAATAATTGTATACAAGGCTGAAAGAGGTTTGAGATGTTCCATCGAACAATGTCAGTTCAACTCCTCCCATCTCTCTGGTAATATGGCTGGTTTCACCATTTCCCTCCCTTTGAATAAATTCCCAAAGTTAAAAATCAAGTATACAAAGTTTCTCTAGGTAATTCCTTTATTGCTAAAGGAAAGTAAGTAATCCTTCCCACATTCCTAATCCATTACAGCTACTGCTTGTCATTATTACTTATGTGACTATATAAATAGATTCACATCAGTTTCTATGCACAAACCAGAAAAAATAAATGTTTTTCTTCCCGATACCTTCAATCTCCTTTGTTTGTGGTCAGTACTATTAGTATATTACAAATACTCTTTCTTCTCACTTCCCTCCACTAGCTTGTCACTTTTTCAAACAGCAAGGATGTTGTTTAAATATACAATAACTATGTTTTATATATAATGAAAACTATTACTGCATAGAATAATAATTTATTCATCTACAACAATCTCTTCTGCAGTCTCTTGTCCTATATGTAAACACAAAGGAAAATAATCATTTTAATCTCTATTACTCTGTTTTCCTTTTTTAAAATTCAGGTACTATTTTCCAAGTTTCGCTCAGAGACTCGTCTTCAGAGAGTCTATACAAGTTTGAGATAATTCCCTCATTTTTTGTACTTCCGATTTCTCTTTCCCAAAACCCTTTTTTCCTCCCATTGTAGGTTCTGTCTTCCACCTCATATTCTTAAGCCTTTTCTCCCTGCTGGCTGCACCTCTCTTCCTGTCCCGAATCCTTTCCATCATACCTACCAGTACTTTACATTCTTTTGCACCTTCCCAATCTGAAAAGCCTAGACTATGAACGTGGCCTTTTGCTCATAAAATGCTACAATGATTTACAGTACACTGACTTTTGCTACCTACCTAACACTTAATGCTTTAAATAGGCCTTTGAGGTGCCTAACAGTATGAAAAAATTTTTGAATAAGACTATCTTATTATCTGATGACTATTACCTGCTTTCTGTCTGGAAGCAAGAGTGTAGTCCAACAAGAAAGGGATGATTTGAAGCCTGTTCAAAGACGTGTTTCTCTGTCTGAACCCAATCAATATCCTATTTATTTAAGAAAAGCGACATTCAGAAAAGGATTGCTGCACTTCTTAGGTCAAGTATTAATGACAATTAGCAGAAAGATATTCAAGTGTTTTGCTGTCCTTGTTTTACTTGCAAGAAGCTAAATATTACACAGGTCTCCAATTTAGCATACTCTTTTTTTTTTTTTTTCCTGTCTCAACTGTCCCATACTTTTAACCTCATCATGTAACACTTGGGAATGAAAAAAACTCTTAACTATAAAAGATAAACTGGTGCAGACAAATGTAAAGTAGCATCAAGAAATGCAGAAGAAATCAATGGTAGAATGAGAAATAAATGCAAGAGCTCTTGGATAGCAAACCACAGTCATTTGAGTCTTTTCAGAGTAGCCTAAAGAAACACAAGGGAAATCTTCAGCAACAAGAAGCATGTGGCAGTTTACTGCAATTTCTGATTAGTTTCTACTAATCACTGTATAAGCTACAAACAAATTGTTAAGATGGAGGTCTGATTTAAAAAGCAATTAAAATAACATTGTGAGTTCTCCTTCGTGACAAAAAAACCCAAACATGAACATATGAAAACCAAACTCCACCCACTTCTTTTTCAGCCCAGCAAGCCAATATAATGGGAGATATATGGAACACTGCTCCAAAATAACAAAGCAAGCCAGGCTTATAAACTTGAATTCTGCAGGAACACTGCTGCAGACAGTACTGATCAAAGGGAGACACTGCCAACAGAGGCAACGAGGCTCATGACAGAAACCACTGGCACAGGAGCGAGCTGCCAGTCTGTCAATGAGGACCTCAAAATTTGTTAGCCATCTGGTGAATCTTCTGTAATATAGTATGTATAAGAAACTGCATGTATAATTTTCAATTCGTGTTGCAGACCCAGAAGCCTGGCTCCCACCTTGTGGTAGATACTGAAGCTCCTTGGGAGAGTTGCCTGACATTGATAAAAAGCTTGCCTACCTCATCATCATTGACGAGCTCTTTCTTCACCACTTTCATTGCATAAATGCGTTCAGTTTTCTTCAGTCGAACAAGCAGTACTTTAGCATAACTGCCTCTTCCTATAACTCGGAGCAAATCAAAATCCTGAAGACCCAGACTGGAAGAAGCTTTGCCACTTTCTCTAATGCTCATTGCCTTTTGATAAAGATAAGTTGAATTTAGTAAGCAGGCTTGCCAATTTTAACAACTGTGAAAGTTAGCATTTCAAATAGAACAGCAAAATTAATATAAACAACTGATTCAATTAACACTTGTTTTTCTTAAAACTGCACTGTCCTAGAAAGGAATGTGAGGGGAAAGGAAGGAGGCAGAGGAGACTTGGCAGATAAGAAACAAATGCTGGAGGAGTTTGGAATACTTTCTAAGTCAAAGCACATCTACACTTTCTAAATCAAAGCACATCTATACTCAAGGTTCAAAATAAAACAGCCTGCAAGCCATACATGCATACACCTGAGTGAGCAACCCAAATGTGCTTTATGTACTAGTTTTCAGTTTGTGGCAAGTTAAATTACTGAAATTTTGAAATTGAGAGAGACAAAAGCTTTAAGATCTCTGAATACAGTTAGCATGGTTACGATACTTTACCTCTTTTTCTTCACCAACATGGTCCAAGCTCTCATGACTCGAGGGATTGTATGGAATCACTAGAAGTGCAAGAATCGTTATTAGACCGATGTGACACAACAGTGGGTTTTTTTGTCTTCAAATTTCCACACACAAGAGCTCAGAGAGATACACAATTTAAATGCATCTACTCTAAGTATTCAAAACTGTTGCATTGGGCTTTTTTTTTTTTTAAAAAAAAAAAAAACATCAGAATCATTCTTTTGCAATACTGCATTAATAATCAGTTATGGCTAATACAAAAACCTGTAATTATATTTGGAGATCTCTTCAGATTAATCTTGACTCCACACGTGAAGAACCTTGTGCAGAACAGTGGTTTGTTTGGTATTTAACCTGATCATTGTCTATATTCAAATTCAAATGTTAGGAGCATTACCCCGATTGCTACAAGAATGAACTTGATTGCTACAAGAATGAACTCGTTTGGCTACTGATCCAGTAGCAACCCTGCTAATTCTGTTACGGTTTTTTGGTTTTTTGTTTGATCAGGGCATTTAAAGTACACAGCTTACTGATAGAAAAATGTAACTGAGAGCCTAAATTCCTCCTTTTTAGCCAAGCTTCTTAAACTGATAAGATATGGAAAACTAAGGATTTTTTATATTTATATCCCCCCATTAAGAAGCTGTCTTAATTTTCTTGTTCTATGAACAGAAGTAAAGGAGGGGTTTTAAAATAATTTAAAGTTATTCTGTTTCATTTTAAAACCCAAAGTTCATGTTTCAGCCACTTATGGTAATGTAAAGAAAAAAATTATTGATCTTACCTGATTCTACATTATCTGGATGCACTGATGATGGATCCATAGGCATTATTGGCTCCTGCAAGTATGCAGAGGATTTTTATAATAGACTGTCCAAGTGTGAAAGCCATATTTTAGAGACAATAAATCAAGTAAATAAATGATCCCTGAGGAATATAATCTAGCTACTTTTTAACTCGATCAGTCAACATAGTAACTGCTCTAATCCATACACAATTAAAGAAAACACCGCGGTCCTTGTTTCACCCATTTTCCAGAAGCTACAACACATTTCCAGAAGCTGTTGAAGTGATGACTTAGTACAGCAGAGAAAAGAAGTACAGCAGATGAGAAATGAGACAGAAAAGCTCAAGTACTTCAGCAGTACATATGTTAGCCAAATGAATTAAGAAAATGTAGACCTGTAGCTGTCTGCTTTTAATATTAAACCAGGAGCAGTAGTCATCTAAGTTTTTCTGGGGACTTAAGAACTAAAAATGATTTAATTTCTTGGGCAAAAAGTCAAAACTTCTGCACTACTACTACTTTTTCTGTGAAATGGGAAATAGTCTAATAATCTAACAGACATTCAGAGAATTTATTTTACCTGTACCTCACGTTGAAGATGCAAAACTCTCTGTGTGTGTATGCGCTATGTAACAGTATAGTGAAGGATGAGATAAATATCACTTACATGTTTATATTTGACACAGGAAGAAATATCAGATGTGAAAGTTAGACAGCCATCTTGCCACTAAATTGCCATTCTGTTAAGTGATTCCCAAACTTTCTTGCAAAGCGTCACAGTAACCATAAAGAATGATGTTTCATCTACTGTGATTATTGATTATTTGCAGACTATAGTCCGAAAACCGTAATATATATATATATATAAAAAACAGGGGCTTTTTTGTTTGATCGATCAGTTTTTGTTTTTTAAAGACAACTTTTCGGTTAAGTTTTACTTACTGGTTGTAGCGTATGACGGCCACATTCAATACTGACAAGTTTGTGACACTTCTTGTGAACGAGGAGTTTGCAATTGATGCATTTATATCCCTGGCGACCCAGACCCCATATTCGGTCGGTGCAGATGGCACAATGAGCTCTCTAGAATGAGAAATCAACAAAACCGATAAAAGAGCAAAACTAAACAAAAACTATTCAGCCACATTTTCATTCAAAAAGAACATAGGATAGGAGATCAGAGAGATCCCTACTGAACTTGCCACTATACCAAGAGTCTCTATCTGAAAACTCCAAGAACGAACAGGCAGATATAATACAGAGGATATCAAAAGTTAGAACTGAACAATGAGCAGCAACTGCCATACAGAAAGTGTGCATCTACACGGAAAGGTGCAGGCACAGCCAGCCTCTTCTGCTGCACACAGACCAGAGACATGAGCCAACTCCAGGTCAAAAACATGGCAGCTGAATCAGCAGGCTGCTGCGCCCAAGCTAATTGGCCACGTGTCTCGTCATCTTTCTGTGTAGATGAGCCCTTACATTTGTACAGAAGGCAGGAGAGCAAAAGCTTCAACACATTAAACCACCAGATAAGAGGAAACGGGAAGATCACCGCTCACTGAAGGACATTCACAAAACAACTCAAAAGAACCATGAGAGCAGGGTGTCTACGAAAGCAAGAGTGGAAAGTGGTTAAACTATGGTGCCTTGACAGCCTTTGACCAGGAAGAGGTCAAAACCAAGAGCAGTTAAGATATGAAGGATGCTCAAGATGAAGCTTAGCAGAGAGAATCTCAAGCATTAAGCACACAATACACTAAGCTTAGAAAAGAAGGAAAGATTACTGAAGCTGTCAAGGAACCTGGCTTATTCAAATATTTTGGGTTTGTTTTTTGCGGTTGCTTTTCCTAAATACAACAGATAACCTTCATGGTCCTTAGATAATTATATTTGACCATTGCTTCTTGAAAGCATTACAAATGGTTTGTTATTTTCAGTTGATTACATGCCATCATAAGCAGGCTGTCTGGAGAAACATCTCAGTTTTTCATTTAAAAATCATGAAAGAAAAGTCTGTGCGTCATAAGCAAGTTCAGACCTTTTTACTCCCAGAACTTAAAGAACAGCAAATGTACTTTCAGCTCATAGGCATCTAATGGCAGTGTTCAAGTTTGCCCTCTGGGAAGATTTTAAAGGAACATTGGAGCATTTATATAATTGATATCATGGTTTCAGAGTACATGTGAAGTGAACTGCAACCAATTTATCTTTTTTCTATTTTAAGTTCCTGGTAATGTAATAATGATTAAGTTTCCTGAAATGACAGGGTTACCAAAAGTCTACATAGTACAGACAAACAACAAAAATTAAAACTACCTCATAATTTTTCAAGGCAGTGACATTGTAATTACGAAATAAGACATCCCTGTACCATGGTTTTAAGTACCCAACAAGAGTCTCACCCTGTTAAATCGTTTGGCTTGGAAAGTGTGACCATTTGCACAATAGAGCTTTCGCCACCGGCGGGCGCCTCGGCGATAAATGGATTCTAAGAGGAAAAACATACGATCATAAACATGTAAACACAGAACTACAACATCTTCTCATGGACATTTCTGTGTAGAGTGATTTGAAGAGTAAAGTTGCACTCTTACACCTTACAGAAACACAGAGTAATGTTCCAAGTATCTTTTTCATTTTTTAAGTTTTTGAGAAATTTTGAAGCAAAATTATCCTGATCAACTCAAAGTTAATTTTGCTTTTTCAAAGTTAAAAGGAACAGTGAGTCAAGAGAAGGAAAACTGCCCAAACAATACAAATGCTTGTGTGCAAAGTATGCACCTACCTTACCTAAACTTGGGGCGGAGCTGTGGGGAAAGGGAAGGAGGAAAGAAGGTGAATTTCAGGAACACACCCTGATTTGTAAGATTGCTTGCACAAATCCTCCAGTGTTTTAGATCCACAGCTGCCACTGGGGTTTTTTAAATTATTATTTATTTTTTATTACTAGAGGCATGTCAAGAACTAAAGCTGAAAACTAGAAGATACAAAACTACACTGAGATGCAGATCTATTTCTGATTCAGTCCACAACCTCATTTTTTCAGAAAAGCAGCATTATCCATACTGCCAAAGTTAACTGTTAAGCATGCACGTTTACATTTGTCAGAGACTTGGATATCAAGCTGGCAGATGTGTGTGTGCATAACATACACATCCTCTTTTATAAAACTTCAAGACAGAGGGAAAATTACCTCTTTAATGTCTAGCACATTAGCTAACGTACCTTAGAGGTTTTCAGAGAATACTCCTGATAGTACTAAACATCAATTTAAAATGAATTAACCACAGATCTCTAAATGGTGATACGAGAAGTCATTGCCATTGGGTACAAGCCTTTGTTCACGTTAGTCAGCCAGCAATCTGGCAACTACCAAAAAGACAGGAATAGGATAAAAAACTGTCACGATAGAAGAGGCAAAAGCAAGGAAAGCAGAGTGACATGGATAGTTAACAGAAACGTGAAACGCTTATTAACAATGATTCAGAAGTGACAAACATTTAAGTTTAGCAAGACTTTCTATTCCTTTTAAATATTGAATTTGTAGAGATCTGCATTGTTAATATTTTTAAGTGTAGGATGCCAAACCATAGAATATCAAAATCTTCTAAAACAGGAAATCTGAATTCCTGATTTTCTATACTTCTTAATTAAAATGCCTACTTACTATCTTCTCCTGGACAAGGCATGCCAGGCCGTTCTGGTACACAAGGAAATACTGCAAGAAAAACATTAACTTGTGATTAATTTTTATTTTGGCCATAAAATAAATATTTGGGTTAAATACAACACTTCTGAAAGATGTTCAGCCATTTAGGAAGGCAGCACAGACTGCATTTTAACAAAACCTTTTGCAAGAGCAGCTGAGCTGAAAAGCTGCCACAAAACCCTTTTGCTGGACATAACAGTGATATACATGAGAAATACGAGCAAAAAGCAGAATAAACCAGGTTATTTCCTAAAGAAAGTAACTAGAAAAAAGTAAGGATTCTGGTTTCTCACATGACCAGTCATCACAGTCAGTATTTGGAAATCTTGACTATAAACATATTCTATTACAATGTCCTAACAGCTCCATATGATAGTGTAATGTCTACATTAGCTTACCCCCTACATCATCTGCTGCCCCCCCCCCCCCAGTTTATTTAGCTTCAGTAACTGCCAGAGAGAAATAGAACTGGGAAGAGTGAGCCCTGGTGCTGGTTTAATCAGAAGCTTATCAAACACAAAAATAAATGGAGAAAGGGCAGATCAAAAAGCATGCTGGAGTAATATATACAGAAACAGTGAAATATATATAGAAACAGATTACATTCTTCTTCCACTTTTTAAAAGTTTTTGTGGGAAGCTGAAAAGCTGTCTCTTCCTTCCAAATGAGCTGATGGTGAACTAGATTTTTTTTGCATCCTTTTTGAGAAGGACCATGTTAAGACACTGCAGTGTAACACACCCACTAACACTCTTTACAATGGTCCCCTGCTTTTCCGCTATAATCTCTGTTAAACTGAAATCTATCTTCTACTTGTAAAAAGTTACAAACAGTAAGAAAAATATACCGCAGAAGCTACCAAAATAGGCATATAACCCTGAAAAATAAAAATTGAATGGTTACACATCAGAGGCACAATATTATTAGGTTCAAAACTGGTCTAAAGTACTTAATTTTAGAAAAGTCAAATTTTTGACTAATGTAGCATCATAAATGGAGCTCATCAGCTTTTTTCCCTATAATAGAGATGCTGCTCTAAAGCACTTATCAATAATAAAGAGTAGGACACTGTACTATATATTTTCTACCATTCGTTGCCAGCAAGCGTACGAAGGCACTTGGGATGAATGAATGAGAGAGACAGGGGTTGTCTTTCATTAATAAACTAACAGCAAAGTATTTTTCCTCCCTTAATTCAATAAAGAACATTGACAAAGTGCTGACAGCTAAAAAATGCAGTGCACAGTCTTCAGAATCCTCCTGACAGAATGCCACGACAGGCTTTCATTGAGGAGGCTGTGCAAAAGACACAGATAATGCAAGGTAAAAATTCCACTTATTCATCGGTACAAACACAAGAGGTAATATAGTACATTTCACCATACCATGAATTAGAAGCTCTGAATCCTTGTTTAGTTCATACAACCGAAAGGCCTCTTCTAACTCCAGCTGAGAAGAAACTGTACATGGATCTCCTGTAGAAAGAAAAAGAGAACAACACAAAACTCAATCCAATTAGTTCTGTGCCATTCAACAGTTCCCTCACAGTTGGTTCCAAGATAATTATTGGAGCAAAACAGAACAATATTCTCAAGTGTGGTAGTATTTATTTTTAATGCTGTTCAGAGAGTACATCTGAATATACAGTCATATTGAATGCCTTCAGGGAAAAGAAAAATATTAGATATTCCCAAGAGGCAAGCAGATCATAATCACAAAACATAATTGTTTTGGTCTGCTACAAGCATGGTTACACATCATTTCAGTACAGGAGGTAAAGGTTATCTTCCTGCACCTAAAATCCTTCTAAGATTCCATTTTATTTCATTTTCACTGCTGCTTCAACATTACCAAGACTTTAACCAGGAAATGCAAAAGCAGTTAGACCTCTAGTCTTTCCTCAAACCTCAATCAAGACATTGGACAAATCACATAACCTAAGTGAAAACGCCCGATTTTTATGATTTTTTAACTACTACTTTCACACTCACAAGACTATTTGAAGTAAAATCCCTTAAAGAAAGGGCACCAAGGCAGGAAAAAAAGTGTGGGTTGGTTCGTGGGTGTTTTTTTTTTTCTTTTTCATAAAACAATTGCAGCTTTTGTTGACCATTTGATATGGAGCAGATTATCATACAAGCATTTGGCAAGCATTTTAAAGTTTCTCTGACAATACTGCGTTAGATTGCTTTAACAAATCTGTGTTTCAGAAGTAACAGTTTAGGACTGACAAAGGTCTCTCTGTAGACGTCTACTTAATGTTTCTAAAAAAATAACACGTATCCACAAAAGTATTTCAGAAGCGTTAAACAACACTTAATTACATCAGGGCAATTTTGGCATACAGGTAGGTTTAAACCTAGGGACAGGGGTGGGTGAGGAACAAAGGAGATCAAGCCAGAGATCTGCTGTATTCAGGATCAGGAGCAAGAAGGACCTTAAATTCTAGCCTTGGTTCATACTCCTTTGGACACAGCCTGTACTTTACCTGTTTCTCAACACTCACTTAAAGACTTCATCTGGTATTTTAACTGATCACCTGTGTCTGCCAGTGTTTGGAAACTGCTATAAAGACTGAAAATAACAGCCATGCAACAAAATATTTTCTTTGGTGTCTGATGCAGATTAGTAACATTATAAAAAAATTACCCTCCTAAAAGAAGAAACCTTGTTCAAAATAATCCTACAACTGAAACATTTTTAAAGCAATGTTGAATCAGAATCATCACTGCCCCAAAGAAAGAAAATACTTCTGGTTGTTCAACTTTTTTTCCCCCTCCACCTACACAAGATGTTCTGTACGAGAACATGGGATTTATCTCTGCCTGCTCATACTCCAGCACGTGAGCAGAACAAGCTTCTTTCTAGCCCAAAATCCCATGCAATAAGTCTACTGTCATATAGCACTTCCAATTTTTAACAGAAATATTACTTTCCACGCCCTTAAGTGGCAAACTGGTTGTGGGTAAGTGAATTGGAGGAAGGCAGAACAATTTCCATCTCAGTTGAACTGGATCCAATCTGAAAGTTTTACTGCTTTGAGTCTTCGGTCAATAGCATGGTTTGAAAGTTAGCTAGCAACAGTCTATTAACTATTCTCTTTTTGGTTTGTAGTACAAGGTATCAAAATTAATAAAGGCGTTGCTAAGGCTTTTCAGTAGAACCACGCACCTAGCAGGCAGGGGCATAAACTCACCCTACAGAAGTTTTTCCAGTTAATTTGTTTTGTTTCTAATGTATCCATTCTTTTCTATTGCTAAAATACTAGTAATAAAATGTAAACTGTCCATTTGCAGCATTCTGTCTTTATTCTTTTCTGTATGTCATAATGCTCAAAACCAGTCTTCGAAGCCAATTGTAGTCATTCTTCACCAAACTGCCTCCCCCCTACAATTAACCTATCTGGACATCAAACCACTGCGCAAACTTACACAGCACAGAGCACGGGGGGCGGAGAAGGAACAACTGTATTTATTCAGACTCTATGAAAATCAATAAACTAGTTTTTCTTCATTTGTTTCTGACACCTGTGCAAACAGTTTTGCGTTTCCTTCTGGCAGAAGAAAAGGAGGCTCTCAGGAACATATACCATGCTTCAAATTTCAAACAGAAGGTTTATAGACAAACTCTTTCAACAAGTTTGTAGTAGTGTGAATTTTGCAGCCAAAGACAGCAGGGATAAGTGTCATAGGAAAATATTGGCTTTTGAGTTACAGAGCAAGAAACAACAGACTGAACACAAACAAAAGGCTAGCGTCCATCCTACAGGAAATTTCAGAAGACAGAGGTAAGACAAAGTGACCGCATACAGATAAAGTAGAAAGTTGTCTACAATCAAATCCATTCATTCTATTTTCCAGTTGCATCTGAGCATTTTTTGAAGTGATTCCACTCAACTAAATCAGGTCTGCCTTTGTGTGCCACTACCTCTACGAAATAGAAGTAGTTCTACACGATGCTCTGCATCTTGCAAAGGCTAAAAAGACATTTAGTATATGACAAATAAAAACCTTAGTGACTAGGTAAATCCAATTTATTTAGTCACACATCCGATCAAGCAGTTTTGTCAGGAAGTAGTGAATAGATGGCCTAGACACCGTATCTTGTCTTATACTACAAGAAGCATGGGTAGTAGTATAACAAGTATCAGTCCACAGTACACACATTTCCTTGTGCTATTATTAAAGAGTGAACCTCAGTTTTAGTGAAGAGGATGCGATACAGGAATTTTCCACAAAAGCAAATTATGAGTTTCTAGAAAAAATACCAACTGAAAACACTAAAGAGTTGGAGACAGAGAAGAAGAGAGGAGGCAGGGGTCTTGGCAAGAACCCACACATTGTGGATGCAAGAATCACGCATAAAAAGACAGGGGGATTTTTTTTAAAATATGCTCCTCATCGCCAGATTAACTTTTTCTCCACTGACATTAAACTGGAAGTTAATGATTAAAGCAAACACAGACTGCTTGTGAAAATTGAATCCTATGTGAATACATTAAAATAATTTAGTCAAACCGCAGCATTCCTTTTTTTGAACCTATCTCTAATTAAAGAGCAGAAATTGAGACAGAGCAAACTGTTGCTTCAAGTAAATTATTGAATCCGCACAAAATTTTCTACAAATGTTTAATAAAAAGATATGTACTTCTTACTATGACTCACACTGCAGACTCCTCCTCTTCAGTGAGAAGTCTATTATCTTCCTCAAGATAAAACAAACCAGCCAGCTTACTATGAAGTAAATGTTCAACTCGAGTAGCAGCGCTGCACAGTTCAGTCATTAACATTGTTCATTTTACTTTACTGCATCTGCCTGGTATAAATAACTTTAGAATGATGACGGGAAGGAGAAAAAAAAAAAAAAAAAGAAAGAAAGATAACCTGCTCAGATTCCCAAGACCACATAATCTTCAACACACTTGCCCATACAGCACTTCCAAAAATCAGCTTTGGTCCCTGTTTAGTTTTAAGCTCTGAATAAACTGGCACTCGCCCAATTTTGAATGGGAAAGCTGTGAGAAGGGGAGGAAACTGTTCTATAAGCACCATTTATGTTGATCACTGCATACAAATACTAATCACTGCTGACAAATCACTGCACATTATGGCCTTTTATGTATTTCATCAAGTACTTAGCATGCTAAGATAACTCAACAGCTATTTCATAACTCAGACGTCTCTTTGGTGTAGCTAAAAAAACGATGTGTAGAATACACCAATTCTGCAAAGAAAATAGGAACTACAAATAACTTTTTCAAAAAATTACTAATGTACACATACAGCTCAACTGGACTACATCTGTTAAGGAAAAGGGAGAACAGACTCTGAACTTTTTTTTCATCCGATGTAAACTTTAACATGGATAATGTAAGCACTAGAGATGACAGGAGTTCTTGGCCTAGGCTGTTACTGCACTTTGATGAGAAGTTACTATATGTCATTCAGATAAGTAATTTCTCTTTTAATATTTAGAAACTTTTATAGGTAGCTATGTGCTAATAGACTTTAGGTTGCTAAAGTAACAGCTGATAAAACACTCAAAACATAATGGTTTTGGTTACAACTCAACTATATATTAAATTGTATCAATATTTCAGATAAATACTGTAATATGTATAATTTAAGGTTAGTTTAACTCTTTTTCAAAAATATTTAAGACTTAAGGGGAACCATGGTCGTCTTCAGCAGTATAAGGGAGTACTTTCTATTCCTTTTGTAAGAAATTGTAACATTGATTGAATTAATAATTTGATAAGTCACTGAGGTTTTATTTGGTTAAAAAAAAAAAAGAACTTACAAAGACATTGGGTAACCATTATTTTGTCAGATTTACTATTTCTAAAAATGTACTTGCAAATCATGTTTTATAAGCTTATCTTATGAAGGCAGTGGGAAAGAAAAAGATGAAAGGGAGAGGAAAGCTAGAAAGCTGAGCAACTTATTGACCAGCATTGATTTACCTTCTTCATCAATCCATTTCATGGTGAAAAGCTGTTCGTTGTCAAAGGAGCACATGTCTCGAACTTCATTGCACAGTCCCTCAAATGAGATGGAAGGTTCAAAATATGTTATCATGATGTCCCTGAGCAAGAGAAAAATAAATTTGAGAAACTATACCATAATATGTAGCACTTGATCACCACCTCTAACACCTCTCATATACTACTAATATAAAATGCATCCCTGCTGCAGTCCCCTAAAAAAATATTACAGGAAAATAAAGCATGTAAGTTCCCTTCCTATAGCAAAGTCAGGCTCCAAGGGATTTTTATTACCACTACTTGACATTTAATCCTCCAGGTATCTGCTTAAGAAAAATTAAGGTTTAAATGCCCAAATAACTACAAAGTGAGTTGCAGCAGATATTAACCACACACAGAAATGAGATATATTGTACCAGTGGAAACTGAAGAATGAAATGCTGCAAAA